TTTCTCTCTCTTCTTTTCTCTCTTTTGTTCTCTTTTCTCTATTTCTCTATTTCTCTTTTCTCTCTATTCTCTCTCCTTCTCTATCTCTCTTTTTCTCTGTTTTTCTGTTCTCTTTTCTCTTATTTTCTCTATTTCCTTCATTATTATTCTCTCTTTTCTCTCTTCTCTCTTCGTTCTTTTCTTTTCTGTTCTCTTTTCTCTTTTGACCTTCTTTCTCTTTTCTCATTTATTTTCTCTCTTTCTCTATTCTCTCTTTTTCTCTCTTTTCTCTTTTCTTTTCTCTATTTCTCTCTTCTCTTATCTCTCATTCTTTATTTTCTCTCTTTTTCTCTCTATCTCTCTTCTCTTCTTTTCTCTTTTTTCTCTTCTCTTTTCTCTCTTTTTCTCTTTTCTCTCTATTTCTCTCTTTTCTCTCTATTTCTCTCTTCTCTTCTTTTTTCTCTATTTCTTTTTCTCTTTTCTCTCATTTTTCTCTTTTCTCTCTATTTCTATTTCTCTTTTCTCTCTCTTTTCTCTTTTTTTCTCTTTTTCTCTTTTTCTCTTTCTCTCTCTTTTCTCTATTTCTCTTTTCTCTCTCTATTTCTCTTTTTTCTCTTTCTCTTTTCTCTTTCTCTCTATTTCTCTTTTCTCTTATTTCTCTTTTCTCTTTTCTCTTTTCTCTTCTCTCTCTATTTTTTTCTCTTTTCTCTCTATTTCTCTATTTTTTCTCTAATTTTCTCCATTTCTCTATTTCTCTATTTCTTTCTCTCTTTCTCTATTTCTCTTTTCTCTCTATTTCTCTATTTTTTCTCTCTATTTCTCTATTTCTCTTTTCTCTCTATTTCTCTATTTCTCTTTTCTCTCTATTTCTCTATTTCTTTTTCTCTTTTCTCTCTTTTCTCTCTATTTCTCTTTTTCTCTTTTCTCTCTTTTCCTTCTATTTTCTCTTTTCTCTTTTTCTTCTCTTTCTCTTTTCTATTCTTTTTCTCTATTTCTCTTTTCTCTCTATTTCTCTTCTCTTTTTTTCTCTATTCTCTCTATTTCTCTATCTCTATTTCTCTTTTTTTCTTCTCTTTCTTTTCTCTATTTCTCTTTTCTCTCTATTTCTCTATTATTCTTTTCTTTCTATTTCTCTTTTCTCTTTCTCTCTATTTATTTCTCTCGATTCTTTTTTCTCTATTTCTCTTTTTTCTCTATTTCTCTTCTTTCTCTTTTCTCTCTATTTCTCTTTTTTCTCTTTTCTCTCTTTTTCTCTATTTCTCTTTTTTCTTTTCTCTCTATTTCTCTTTTTCTCTATTTCTCTTCTCTCTCTATTTCTCTATTTCTCTTTTCTCTCTATTTCTCTTTTCTCTCTATTTCTCTATTTCTTTTCTCTCTATTTCTCTATTTCTCTTTTCTCTCTATTTCTCTTTTCTCTTTTTCTCTATTTCTCTTTTCTCTCTATTTCTCTTTTCTCTCTATTTCTCTTTTCTCTCTATTTCTCTATTTCTCTTTTCTCTCTATTTCTCTTTTTTTTTCTCTCTATTTCTCTTTTCTTTCTCTCTCTCTTTCTCTATTTCTCTCTTTCTCTTTTCTCTATTTCTCTCTCTCTTTTTCTCTATTTCTCTTCTCTCTCTATTTCTCTTTTCTCTCTATTTCTCTATTTCTCTTCTCTCTATTTCTCTATTTCTCTTTTCTCTCTATTTCTCTATTTCTCTTCTCTCTCTATTTCTCTATTTCTCTTTTCTCTCTATTTCTCTTTTCTCTCTATTTCTCTATTTCTCTTTTCTCTCTATTTCTTTTTATTTCTCTATTTCTCTTTCTCTTTTCTCTCTATTTCTCTTCTCTCTCTATTTCTCTATTTCTCTTTTCTCTCTATTTCTCTTTTCTCTCTATTTCTCTATTTCTCTTCTCTCTATTTGTCTTTCTTTTCTCTCTATTTCCCTTTTTCTTTTCTCTCTATTTCTCTTACTTTCGATTCTTCTCTCTCGTCCTCTCTCTTACTCTAGTTCTTTTTTCCCCATCTCCAAATCTCTTTCGCCTGTCATTTTCTATTTTCTCTCTTTCCTATTCAATCTCTCTCTCTCTCTCTCCCTCCCTCCCTCTGTCCTAATCTTCCATGTCTCGTTATTTCCCTTTGATCTTTTCTCTTTCTTAATTTCATTTTCACCATTCTCTTACTCTATCTCTCTTTTTCCTTTTTTCTCTCCTTTAAATGTTCCTCTCTTTCTTTATTTCCTTTTCTTCTCCCTTACTCTCTTACTGCGTTTATATCACTTACTCTATTTCACTTTCTTCTTAGAAAATTCTTTGCTTTACGGCAATATCACGTGAAAACCCGGGTTCTCGTACGATCACTGAAGTTAAGCAACGTCCAACATAAACATTGCATAGATGGGTGACCGCTTAGGAATATCAGGTGCTGTCAGCTCGGATGTGAGAGTGCTTTAATGGATAATAGTTTTGAATTCTGAGAACCGAGTTCCAATTCCGGTCAAGTTTTTTTTTCTTATATTCACTTACGCGGAAATAAACTTGGGAAAGATATGACTACACAACTTTTCTCCCCCATCTATGGGTTAGTTAGTAGAACTTTTATCAGATAGTCGTTATTGTCTCAAAAAATATTTACAAACTGAAAAATATTTTCTGGCTTTAAATAGTCGGTAAGAGGTTGGTAAGCCGTAAAAACAACTCAATCAAACTTTTTTCTATTATTATTGCCAACATTTCTCCAATGGGATTATTTAACCACTTTTATTTTTGTATTAATCTTCTTTTTTTTTCTCTCTTTTACTCTTTGCTTCCATTTTCCTTTCTTTCTTTCTTTCTTTCTCTTCGATTCTTTCTTTTTCCTTTCTTTCTTTCTTTCTTTCTTTCTTTCTTTCTTTCTTTCTTTCCTTTTTCTTCCTCCCTTTCCACTTCCTCTCCTTATCTTTCTTTATTTCTCTCTTTACTTTTTTTTTTCTTTCTTTTCTTTCTTTCTTTCTTTCTTTCTTTCTTTCTTTCTTCCTTCTCTTATTTATTTATTTATTTATTTATTTTCTTCCTTGCTTCCTTAATTCCTTTTTTCTTCGTATTCTTACAAGCCAGAGTCCAATAATGTTTCTTCTATTTGTTTATTTTTTCGCTTATATTTTATATTTTCAACTCTATTTTCCCTCCCTCTCTCTCTCTCTCTCTCTCTCTCTCTACACCTCAGGGTCTCCTTTACTTTAGAACATTCTCTCTCCTCCCCCTTTTCGATTTTAATTCACTCATTTACCATTCTTCACTGTTCCTCCGTCTCGTTCTTCTCCATATAGACGCGTTTGTGTGTATGGGTGTTCTCAGCTTTTCACAAACATATATAACATTGTACTTTGCCATCATTGCCATCTTAGACACTTGCAAATGTACTTTTATTTCTTATCTATCAATCCTTATCACTCCCACCCTCTAACCCACTATCTCTCTCTTTCTCTCTCTCTCTCTTTCTCTCTCTCTCTCTTTCTCTCTCTCTCTCTTTCTCTTCGCTTGTTTTTCGATTTGAGAAAAGATAAGTGTTTAACAATATTTAATAATGCGTCTGCTTTTTTATGTTTATATGTTTTTATGTTTCTCATTCTTCATTAGCATCTTTTTTTTTCTTCTTCTTCTTCTTCATTTTTTCTACATCTTCTTCTTCGCCATTATCTTCCTCATTTTCTTCTTTCTTGATCTTCTTCTTCATCTTCCTATCATTCTTCAGTTTCCGTCTTCATCTTCTTCATCTTTTTGTTTCTTCATCTTTTTCTCCGTCTTCCTCCTTTCTTCATCTTTTTCTTTCTTCATCATCTCATTCATCAGTCTTCATTCCGTCTTCATCTTCTTCATCTTTTTGCTTCTTCATCTTCTTTTTCTTCGTTTTCCTCATCTTCTTTCTTCATATTTTTCATCGTCGTCTTTCTTCTTTATAGGCTTACGGCTAAATCACGTAGAAACATCTGTTCTCGTACAATCACCGAAGTTAAGCAACGTTGTACCTGGACAGTAAGTAGATAGGTGAACGCTTGGGAATACCAGCTGCTCTAAGTTTAGATGTGTGGGTGGGGAAATGATTAACTTGTTAATCGGAAAGCTCCATTTCCAATCAGGTTCGTTATATGCACTTACACTCAAATAGAAAGGTATGAATCCACCTAATCTCCCGCCAGCTATGGATTAAGTAGTAAATCTTGATATATCATAAAATATTTTCTAGCTTTAAATAACACGCAAAACGTTGATAAGTCGTAAAAAATGAACCAATTCTTCCTCTTCTTCATGTTCTTCTTCTTCTTCTTTTTCTTCTTCTTCTTCTTTTCTTCTTCTTCTTCTTCTTCTTCTTATTATTATTATTATTATTATTATTATTATTATTATTATTCATCTTCATTTTCTTCTTCTTCTTTATCTTCTCTTTCACCTTCTTCGTCTTCTTCATCATAATCATCATATTCTTCTTCTTCTTCTTCTTCTTCTTCTTATTCTTCTTCTTCTTCTTCTTCTTCTTCTTCTTCTTCTTTTACGTTCCATCCCTCCTTTCGTTCTTGCCCCCGTTCTTTTTTCATTTATAGCAATATCTAATTTGCAGATTGTTTATTAAAACATTTAAGATACTTTTTCTCAATCTCCATTCGAAATCTGCATTAACTATGACTTGCTCATACACAAAGAAAAATGGACGCTTCTATTGTCTGGCATTGTTCTCAAAATATCTTTTATAGTCTCCCTATAAAATTATTAATGTAGTTACAAACACTTTCTACCAGCAACATATCCTGGTATTAATATTCGCATTTTACTTATCAATATAAATGATTACTTTTTCCTTTTTTTTTTTTTTGCATTCAATGGACAGATATTTGAAGCTGATTATCAATGTTGAATCACATAAATTATAATAAACGTCAAAGGATTTGTTCTTTTTCATCAATGGAAGCGAAATAAAATAAAAAAACTTCAAAATATAGTTATATTACCCACTGACGAAGGAGATAGATAGATAGATAGATAGATAGATAGATAGATAGATAGATAGATTATAAACAGATATGAACAGAGATGGATATGAACATATTGCAATAGATAGATAGATAGATAGATAGATAGATAGATAGATAGATGGATAGATAGATAGATATGAACAGACGTAAATATGAACGTATTACAATAGATAGATAAATAGAAAGATAGGTATGTGTGTGCATGTGTGTGTGTATTTTTTCAAACTTTGGGGACGGGTTCAACGCAAGGATAAAAGTCCATATAAACACATACCCGCAAATACTTTGTTTTTGAGTTATTAGCTTTAAAATTTACGGTATACGCTGTTATATGTACAATCCAAGATACAATCCCAAAATATTTTTTACAAACTTTTTGGGAAGATTCCTGACACAACAACAAGGTAAAATATCCATATAAACATATGTCCAAAAGTCTATCGTTGTAGCTCAAAACAGTAACTTATAACAAACGTCTAAAATGTACTCCACTTGCTTATACACACGCATGCACCCGATGGATCATTGACTGGCGGACCTTTTCAAATACTCCCACACAGTGTCGAATTGACATGTTGATGAAGCGTCTCTGAATTACTGGTTTCTGCTGCATAAACCAATTGTTTTAAGTATCACCACAGATAAAAATCCTAAGAGTTGAGGTCGGGTAACAGGCAGGCCATCGAACTGGTCTTCCAGTTTTCATGGTAGGTGTCAGGCGTGAACAATGTGACTAAAATGTACTGGCTCTAGATATCTCCAAAGCGTTTGATAGTGTTTGGCATGCCGGCCTTATTTGCAAGCTTCAGGGTTATGGAATTTCAGGTCGATTGTTTGACTTAATAGAATCATTCCTGTCAAACCGTGTATTGAAGGTCGTTCTCAACGGATTCTCCTCCAGCTCCTATCCCACGAACGCAGGTGTTCCCCCAAGGCTGTATCCTAGGCCCTACTCTGTTCCTTATCTTCATCAACGATCTTCCTGACGTCATAGATTCCCAAGTAGGCATCTACGCGGACGACACTACAATTTACTCCTGTCTCAAAAAAAAAAATCTAGTGTCGCTGACAAAACTAACCTGGCCGTTCGTCTCGAAAAGGACCTCCAATCGATTGTGAACTGGGGCAGGAATTGACTGGTTAACTTTAACGGCTGAAAAACAAAACTGCTCTCTATTAATCACCACAGAGATCCTTCCCTGGCCCCCATTAGGATGTTTGACGCTCAACTGCTCGAGAGCTCCTCTTTGTGACTACTCAACCTCACATTGAGTAATGATCTGAGATCAACAAATACATTGAGTCAATAGCTTCGTCCGCCGCGAGAAAAGTTGGCTCCCTGTGCCACGCCAGGAAAATTTTCTTGCCGGAATCGATCCTTCACATCTAAAATCAACCATTCGCCCTTGCATGGAGTATTGCTGCCATATATGGTCCAGTGTCCCTTCTGCTTGTCTCAAGGTTCTTAATAAGATCCAGAGACGGATATGCAACGTAATTGGCCCTGATCTGGCATCTCGTCTGCAGTCGCTCTCTCACAGACATACCGTCGCCTCCCTCTATTTTTTTTACAAATATTTTCATGGTAACTGCTCCGGTGAGCTGCTTTCGCTGGTTCCCAAACTTCATGAATTTAAGCGTTCAACTAGGCTGGCATCTCGCTCACACGCTTTCACTGTCGAAGCTGCTAAATGTAGCCGTCTCTTCTGCTCCAATAACTTCATGTCACCTCTCGCTTATTTCCTTGATAGCTATAATCTCCAACTATTCAAATGTAATGTGAATCGACGTCTCCAGATCTATCCTCTATCCTTCCCTTCATCTTTTCCTTTAGCACTTCTATTTGCTCTAGCTCCAACTCTCTGTAACTTGCGTGCTAGTGGCTTCCCGCCTTGCTTGGGGTAAAACGCTTAAAAAAAAATCATGCATGAACGAAATGCGTCTTCACAGACACATCCTCGAGCAGTTATGGAAGTGTGCTCGAAATAACGTCCCTATAGACATAAGAAAAACATAAGAACCTACCAGACAGTCACCTAGAATTCCAGCCCACACATTAATCGTAACCAGATGCTGGGGTCTAGCCTTTATTGTACAATGGGGATCTGATCCACCCACAAATGCTGGCTGTGTTAATTTGTTATTCCATCTCTTCCAAACGTTGCCTTATCTATAAATAAATCTGAAGGTCAGGCGTGCGATCAGATCCCTTAAAAGGTTAAATAAAATTTTATTTCTTTTTTCTTTTATTTTTGTATGTATTATTGTTATGTATTTCACATTATAATAATATAAAAAAAAACAAAAATAGGAAAATATTTTTTAATTAATTGAAAAACACTACTCTAAAGATAGTAAACTATCAAAAATCATTAATACAAATACAATTAAAATCAGTTATAGCTGTATGAAAAATATGAAGCAAATAATAAATATGCATAATTAATATTAATATTAAATATTAAACAAAAATAATACCAATTACAATGACCAAAACACGGAAAATAGCAACAATAATTGTAATTGTCGAAATAAAAATAAATTTCAACATAAGAAATGTCTAACTAATAATATAATATATAAAGCAACTGCATCAAATAACATTAACACGGAAGAAAAAATGTATATAGGAGCAACTGAAACAGCATTTAAAGAAAGATTTATTAATCATAAAATACCATTTAAAATAGACATATACGCAAATAATACAACACTAGTGTACCCGTGCCGTCAAAATTAACAAGAAGGAATGTATTATAACTAATATGTTTTATATTGTAAGTAATTTTTGTTTAATCCAAGAACAATCTTGTAATTTAAAATAGTTCCTTGTTAATGTTAAGAATTTAATAGTGTTCTATGCAATGATTCTTGTTTTAATACTGAATTCTCATTGGTAATCACGTATGAATTTGAGTAAATAATACTGAATTGGAATTTGGCAAAAAACTTATTAAGAAATACTTATTCAATGCTAAAAGTGTCACATAAACGTTATTATTAATATGCAATTATATAATAAAAGAATAAACAGAAAACATTAGATTTATACAAAAATGTTATTTATACTGAATTGAAAATATGTAGTAAACTTTATCAACATCTAAGGAAAGATACGCGTATATTATCCTCGTAAATATTATATACGAATAACCAAAATTATGTTTACTGCAAAAGTTCCCAATCCACAATATTTTTTGATAAAATCTGGAAGGTCTGAGTCCTTGACAGGTACTTGACAGTCTGTAGATTCAATCTGTAATTTCAGAATCTGATTATTCCTCGTTCTACTAAGAGCAACGTATCATCAGTTATTATCTTTTAATTCTTTATTTTTTATCAAGCTATTACCAAATTCCAAAAGATATGCTCTGAATCTTAACATAAAAACGACATTAAAAATATTTAATTATTTAAGTGTGTAAACTTTTAATTGCTAACTTAAATAATTTTTATTTAATCCAGAATCTATAAAAAGAATGTATAAACATAAAAATATCTTAAAATAATTGTCGGACTTCGTCCATTTCATAATAGATATGTATGTATATATATATATATATATATATATATATATATATATATATATATTGATTATCAAAATATATATGGAGTCAAAAATAAATCAACTAAAATTAAATTGAAAATCCTAAAAATACAACAGAAATAATGTGACTAATAATATCATATAATATACTAAACACAATACAATACATACATATATGTATAAAAACAATGAAACACATATATACAAACAAAAATAAAAATGAAAAATAAAACTTACAAATTATACAATAACAAAATATAGAATTGAAAAACAATTACGTTTATGAAGGAACACCTGAGCACGTGTAAAAATAATGAACATGAGCGCGTTGGGGGAAAAAAAAGGATATTCATGATATTTGTAAAGGTTTAATACACGGATTAATGCTTGAAAAAAGGATATTGAGAATCGGGAAAAATTTCAGTCAGTAATTCTTTTCTCTCTCTTTCTATCTCTCTCTCTTTCTCTTTCTATCTCTTCCTCGCCATATATATATATATATATATATATTATATATATATATATATATATGTGTGTGTGTGTGTGTGTGTGTGTGTTTCATTAAAGACGACAGATAAGGTATTACGATTAAGCTTTTTAATTAATTTTTCTTGTGTTCGAACAAGTGTTTTCTTTCCTGGATACAGAGTGTGCTGAAATTGTTCAAATGTTCTATAATTCCGAGCGCTTTTGGCTATACTTTTAGACATTATCAAGGATGATTTCATTTTTACTTTTTAATTGGGTGCTATGGTTGCGTATGTGTGTGTGCACGTGTGTATGTTTAATAGGAACAATTTTTTTAGGATTTAGACAAATCATTATAGTAATTCATCGACTCTAGAAGAAACCTCAACAGAAAGCTCTGGGTGGCCTTTCAATAAAAATGAACACGCTACGGCCCCTGTCTAAATGATTGGATTTTTCTGTATCCTTGGAAACAAATATTATGAATGCATGTGCTTTTAAAACCCAGTAAATTTCAAAATAACTTGTTCCAAAATTCGCTTGAAAAACAAACAGAATTTTAATTTAATTATATAATTGAATTTTACGATGTTAGTTTCTGTTTTGAAACATCATAATTCCTGTGTAACGATGGAGCCATATTTTTAAATCAGTTAATTTATAATATATATATATATATATATATATATATATATATATATATATATATATATATATTGAATAAAAAACAGATCACTTTAAGGGTCCATGTAATAAGTTATTTCACCACAACCCTTTTAAAGGGCTCTGGATCATCAAACTTTACTTACAAAAGTTGAAATGAAAAATGAAAAGAAACTTACACATTTTTGACGGACCGCACCAAGCGTATGTGAAATTAACGAAGTGAGGAAGTGAGGTGGGAGAGAAGATTTGAGTGAGTTAGATTTACCATTTTAAATTCCTTATCCTTAACCCCACTCTGTGTAGGCTAGACGCCGTTTAACTTAACGTATGCTATCTAGATATAGATGGGTAAGGGGTGAGGGAGAAGACTGACTTAAAGGAGAATGATACAGTAAACAATAAAATAATGAATCATGTCCCTGAGATCAGGATTCACTCAAATTCTTAGATGCTGTAATTTCGCATTACTTTAAAGGGTATCTTTGGGGGTTAGGGTTTGATATAAATCTAAATGTCTAAAAAATCTGCGAAGAATTTAATTTGA